TTCAGCATTTTAATATTAAATGCTTCCTGAAATATGTTTGTGTAACTGTACCATGCAGGTTTGCTTCATAGCTTTATAATAAATTGTTTCTAACTCATTTTGTTATCCTTGCATTGACTTTGATATCTCCTGCTGATAACATAACACAACATCAGTAATAGTGCTACTCCAAGTTCAATAGTTAGCTGATATCCTAAGCACAAATTCTGAAGACAACTGCGTAATTTTAGGTTTCAGCTTTGTATTGTCTTTAATTCAACTGTTTTTAATTCTTTTTATTTAATTCTTATTATTTAATTCTTTAAATTAAATTTTTAATTTAACTGTTTAATTCAACAGGTTTTAATTCTCTGTTCCTTAAAACCAATTAAATTTCTTTATGTTATAATTTTGTTTCCCCACATAAGAGTGTTCAGAGTCACAATAGGTCCCTTCTGCTTTGCCTCTGGATAAGGTGCAAAAAAAATTTGCATGGCCCTGTGAATAACAGTTGTCACATTACTGCTGGGACCAGTATTTAGAACTTCATATCAAAGCCCTGGAGGGCTTGGGAAAAAAAAATTTCAGCAGTGAAGTGAAAGATTATTTTCCACACCCAATATTTATGCTTAGTGTCCATGGATAGACAAGCAAAAGAAATCAGAAAAGGCTCATACATTTTAAAGCCTGCTAAGCCTTGTGAAGATGGGCTCACTGACTCCAAAAGCTGTAGCTTAACAGTTCCAACTAAAGCCACATTAAATCTTAGTGTGATGCTCTAAAGTTCAAAGGGCTGATTTCTGCCTTCTGCTGGCTTCATGTCTGTGCTAAGCACAGTGCAGAGTCCTGACCTGGCATTGTCTGACCCTCCTCCAGACAGAGTAATTGTGTCGGCCTGACTCTGAGCTTCAGGGCTCATGAACTTTGGGATCCCGTCATGCTAACGCAGCTGTGCTACTCTGGGGGCCTGAGCTGGTATTTTTGCAAGATGTGTAACTTAGACTAACTGTAGCTATTCAACTTAAAGTAGCCTCAGCTCCTTCATGTGAGGCCACAACTGAGAGCATCTCTCCCTCCAGGCTAAGGAGGGAGCCTTGGTTCCTAACTTCATCTAGTCAGGTAGAGCTCAAAGGCAGACCGTTTGAAATACAGGAGAAAGTAGAAACCACGCAGGGCCTCCTGAAGTACTGCAAAGGATTAAAACCGAACCCAACCAAAACAAAAAACCTTTACAAACAAAAGTTCAATTCTATAGCCTTAAACCCCATACTAAGTGCTAGCAAAGCTTTGTGCATGCTTTAGATTAGCCATGTAATTACACCATAAACCCCCACTAGGATTTAATTTCAATTGAAAGCAGTGGAACTAATAGTGCACTTCCAAATAAAGCTAATTATGATTTTGTAGAACTGGGGACTATTTAATACAACTATCAAGAGATTTAATGTCAATATGTAGTACTTTACATGACTCATAGAGTCCATAAATATGTACAGGTATTTTCAGCCTGATCATCACATGACTCGCCTAGCTCAGAAAGAAATGTGTAGGAAATGTGTAGTATAGTAGGAAACAACTCTTCCAAACAGCAAATAATTGTGTAAATATATAACTGGAACAAAATCCTACAACCAATGTATAACACAGGAAATTCCATTTCAGCATATTTCTTGATGCTTAATCCTGCCAGGTGGAATGGATCAACAAAGAGGGAGAAGTCACAGTACATGGTGAAAAAATGTTACACATTCGTGGAGGTCATCCAACAGGACCTAAGGAAAATCCACAAAGCAGCTACAACTCTCATTGCTCAAGTTCAGCTAGGTTCAAGCTCAACGTCTATATATCTTGTTACAGTTATTTACTTTTCAATTTATCAGTATCTTGCAAAAAGCTTTTTTTAACTGAAATGCTTTTCCAAGCTATTTCCCCATTTTTTTTTCAATGTTAATATATTGATTAATTTCAATATTAATATATTAATTTCAATTAAAATACAGTAGTAGTGAAATAACAGTTGGGGTGGGACATAAGACACTTTCTATGATTTGCTCACAAGACCTTCTTCAGACTGTCTCCAGCACGATTCAATATTAGAAGAGTACCTTATTAATTTCAACAGCATCAGTGGGCACTGAATCATCTGCTTGTATTACAGTGTGAAAAACTGAACGTCAGCACAATGTCATGACATGGCATACTATAGCTGATTGAAGCACTCAAATTCAGAGGAAAATAAAATATTAGGAGGAACTGTTGAACATGGAAGCTGAGATGTAAAATGGAGATCTCCACAATAGGTCACTGCAAATCAGATTTGAAATGTTAAAAGAAAAGAGAGTGGATATTTGATATGAAACCTGAAGATATTATTCGTGAGATTTTTGTTTAATCCAATTCAAAATGGAAATGAAAGAGGAAAAGATTTTCAGAGTAAGCATAACTAACAACTGCCTTTCAGGAACAGAGTGTTTGGTTCTTAAGTGCACTTCAAAGATTAAGTTAAGCTCAAGATTAACTCTAACAGACATATTGGCTCAATCAGTTTTGTCCTCAGGTTCCTTTGACCTCCTCTTTCAGTCATTAGACATTTATGAAATAAACATGACAGCAAAGAACTAGGATTTTATGGTTTTGGAAAAAGAAATAGATATACACAGTAATGCCTATTTTCATGTGGTTACATAATGGTTATAGTAAGTGTGAGGAGTTACATCCACGACGACGCAAGACACTTTGCAATGTTCAAAATCAAGTGAACTGAGAAAAGGAGCCCAACACACACCAGGACTCCATGTCTCAGCATTAGCTTAAGGAGAGAGAGAAACTGCCCCTTCTACTTTAGCCCAAGACCCAGCAATGCTTAACAGTCTGGTCAAGAGACTGTAAAGTCTGCAAGGGTGTCTGCATGGTATTTCCATAAAACAGAACTTGAAAGGTTTTGGGTAGTGATGAGTCTTGGTCAAGGAGTTAGCAGCATTTCAATGAGACAGCAATTCATATAGATTACAACAAAACACATATTCCCTTCCATTCATCATTTTCAGAAAATAAGAATGGAGCTATCTTAATTTTTAATGCAAATTGAGAACTTGCAGTTCCCATTAGAGCTAACAGGTTCCTCACTCTTCCTGATAGCTTGTTTAAAAATAAACTCCTCAACTCTCTTGTCTAAGCAACATTAATCATGCTTGATCTTAACCACCAATCATCAATTGCCTTTCATGAATTATGAGGTAAACAAAAAAGAATGGGATGCTTTCAAACTGCTGTTACAGACATCCACTTTCCCCATCTCCTCTTTGACTACAAGGGAGTAATATTGATGAATATCACAATGTGAGATATGACTTGCTAACAATATTTGCCCATATTTTATATCAAGAATCTACTAGTATTTAAATATCTCATTTCAAAGGATACAAAACTTTGTACAGGTCAGATGTACTCTGTACAGATCTCAGACATATTTCGCAGACATGGAATAGCTGAAGAAAATAACATTAACAGGCCAAACCCCCAAAACATTGGCAAGTATAATGATGTACAAAATGCCAAAAATTTCTTATCTCATTTCAGAATCTACTCATATACCAGACTGCATCTGGATTCTTGATTTTTTTTTCAACTCCTGTACCTTCAGAAGATATACAAAGAAGGCTCTTACATAATTCAGTGGTTTTTATAGCAAACTAAAACTGTGCGGAAGAGATTAAACGTTGGAAGCTATTTTTAACCAAACTAATGGTATCAATTTCACTAATATCATAAGCTGCAGGTGTCTCCTAAGGTAAAATGTAAGACGATGGAAGAGCTAGTAAGACAAAAGGCCACTGACTACAGAAAAATAGCAGTTCCAAATTACATTAAATTAGGCAATTCTGCCCAACACTCCCCCTGGTGGTTTTGCCCACAGAGATGAGCATGAAGTCCCACACACGCAAAATCCTCCAGCCTAACGACAAAACGTCCCGTTAATAGGATTAAGTACCTCTCATCAGATAAGTAGAACATGGCAAAATCCCTGACACTCCCAGAAATTAGATCAGAGCACAGCCCAGCCCCTTCCTGACGCAGGGAGCAATTTTGCAGAAGAGGTGTTTCAGTATTAATGGTAAATATACCGGGTTTTTTACTTTTCTTTGATAAAGGGTTTTTGTATTTCTTTGCAAAGTTACTTGGTCTTTTGCTATAAATGCAAGTAACTATAGAAGTAAATCCAGGCTATAAACAAATCCAGGCTTTTAATTTACATATGCACTTGTGGCTGATAATTGCAACTCCAGTAAGGCTATATTGGCTAACAAGAAGGTACTTAAATACTGTGTTCATTTAATCAAATGAGAACTATGAAGTGCAGTTGCATGATTTCTAAAAAATAAACCTTTCTCCTCTGCTTTTAGGAGGGAAATAAAGCAAATGACATTTCTTTCCCTTATTTTGTTAGAATTTCTTTCAGCTGCTGATCTGTTTGTTTACAAAACTGATCTAATTGCCAATTTCTTGGCACACCTATTATTACATCTCAAATAATAAGCCTTGTTTTGAAGGACAATGAAAGGAATCGCATGTTTGGACACAAGGAAGGAAATAACATTCCAGAAATTTCCCTTTTTAAAATCGACAATACTGTTTAGCATGGATGTATTTATGCTATAAACTAAGGACACAGTGTGAAATCAGTAACTAGTGTTTTTTACAAGTTAGAAAAGGGACAGACTGAGCTGTATAAGCTTTTGGGTTTATATATGTATGTCCTGATTCTGTTAACCACTGTGCAAACCCAGTGGAATTCATCTAATTAATCTAAATAGATAATTACAAATGAGGTCAAGCTTCTTACTCATGTGTTTTCACTAAGAGTAGCATTTAGATGCATGCTATAAATTTTAGAAACCATAGTTAAAGACAAAATAAATGGGAACTTGTATAACACTTAGCAAACATTGCATGTAGGCATTTGAACATCATAACGATGTTTACATTTAACTGCACTGACCTGCTTTTTTAATAGAAAGAACATGAAGTCCTCTTGGATATTTATAATATATATGCTATGGCTGAATGGTCATCAGTGTGCACCAACAAAGCAGGAGGAAATGAATCTCCGGGAAAACCTGAAGCGTACGTATGCTTTTCTTTCTGGGGTGTGCTGGAGGGCCCTGGGCCCCAGTTGGCTAGTGCATTTTGTCTTCCACACTCACTGGCATCAAGACGTTCCACTTTCATGCATGGAGCTTAGAAACCATAATAAAGTTGACTGCGTGCACCCCCCACATGCACAATGGGGACATAAGAACAAGCAGGATGAGAAAGTAAAGGGATTAACAGATAAGCAGCCCCTTGCAAAAAAAAAAAAAAGTATTTACAGGACATTTATAGGTTATTTGGTCCCTCATAGATCATTAGAATACAAACTGAACTCAAAATTCAACAGATTTTGAACTATTTTGTTTGTTTAAATAATCCTTGAAAATGTTCACAATTATACACTTTGCTGAAAGGTGGCTTTTACAAATAATTTAAATAAAACTACTTAATTTAGAAAATAGCAGTTATTCTGCATATACACATCTCTAAGCATGGCTTTATTTTGTTGATAGAAACTCCAAGAGGATCAGCCACTAAATATTTTTTCGGTCTATATTAGTCATATTTCTGTAACAAACAAACAAAAAAAGTTAGGTGTGAGGAAGAAAGACATAAAGGAAGAAATTACTGACGTGCTTTTGGCATTCTCAGGGTGATGGGATTTTTACTTGTTTTATATAGCTCCAGTGATATTCAGGGTATTTCCACAAAGGGAACAAATACAGATAAAGGATAGGCAATCATGCATAGCTTCAAGGTGCAACATGTGGGCCAGCTCAAGCTTTCACCAAAAATGATCATTACTTCACCAGAAGTCTAGAAAACAGGTTGAAGGCACCTGTAATCTACATTTTCAAGATGTAAAGGGAAGCTATCACAGGCTGCTATCAGATCAAAGATAAATATATAGATTATGTCATTAGAAAACTGATGGGTAATCCTTGGAGATATCCAAAATCCAGGATGAGGTTTTGGAGTAACTAGAGCAACGTGCTCTAGTTGATGCTGCTTTAAGCAGGGGGGCTGGACTCAATGACCTCCAAAGCTACCTCCCAGCCTCAACTGTTCTGGGATTCAGTAATCAGCAGTGGCACAGTCAAATATACAGCTTGAGTTACATGCAGCTGATCCTTGCGAAGGCTCTGGGCCATATTCTTATCTGATGGAAAATGTCTTGGCTCAGTGTTATTCAGCATTCACTATCTCAAGATTTGGCTCTGCCACTGTAGGGAAACATAGAGCTGTTTCATTCTCCTTCGTAAGCAGTGCATGACAATTTGCAATAGTGTTAAAATCTGATTAAGTCACTGTATAATTTGGCTTTTTTTAGAATTATCTGAAGTTGGAGAGAAGTATGTAGATGAAGAGGTAAAGAAAGCTTTGATTGGTATTAAGCAGATGAAAATTATGATGGAAAGAAATGAAGATAAACACATAGATCTGATGAAAACCTTGAAGAAGAGCAGTGAAGAAAAACAGGTAATATAAGTGCATCTGGGGCTTTTTTTTTTGTGTGTTTTTGTTAGCTTGCAGCTATTTTTAATCAAAGGTGAGGCAGATTGTACAAGGATTTAGCCTCACTCCTGGAAGTAGTACAGTATGCCATTGTGCTCAGGCCAATAAGCAACACAGATGAGATCCCTTTTTCTCTCCCCTTTTCTGGAGAGAATGTAAATCACATTGTATGTACACTTTAAGCAGCATAGGTCTCTTATGTGATCATAGGGTTGATAGAAAATCTGCTTCTGCCCCTTAGTCTTACTATCAGAAGAAAATCGCACTCACTGCTCATTTCTAAAAATGCACCACTTCACTGAATTCACCCCAAGGCAACTGCAGGCAACTGTGTGACAGTGTTTTGTGTGGAAGGTCCAGCAGCTCTGCCTATCATGCCTCTGAATACCTGAGGTCACAAGATGTTTCCCAGCTTGCTTGGCAAACTTCAGACCTCGAGGAAAAAAATCAAAGCCACAAATGATAACACGCTCTGAAAAAAGTACAGTGAATCAGGGAAATTTCCAATGTTGTAGTGCAATGCCTAGGCTCAGAGCCGTGTGCTCAGATGATCTGAATAAACAGAGATTACTGTATAGTAAAAAAAATACAAAGATCCTAGCTTTTGGTTTCAATGAAGTTGAAGGAAAATTCCCTCTTGGCCTGACACCTGATAGTTAGTTTAAACTATTTGTATTAGCAAGCCAAAAAGTACCTGACAGCTTTCTAGCATCTTTAGGAATACCACTGCACTCTCATAATCAACACTCTTGTTAGCTCTTACTTGATGACTTCATTTATACAGAGCTTACACTGACAGTGAGAGTTCATAAAACACTGAATAAATGCATTAGAAAGATCAGAAAATAACTAAACATAGATTACGAAGATCGCAGTTGCTGTCTCCATCAAGTACGTTCTGATAGAAGTTTTCTTTTCTGTGAGCCTCTTCCCTACTGAAATGCTGCCAAAATGAATAAGCCCAACCAATTAAAGGTTTCTTTCATACTTAGGAACAACTTGGAACACTGTTTGGAAACCTAAACTATTAAAATATGTTGCAATTGCAGAGAGAAATTAATGATGTGCAATCTACTTCAATAGGAAGAAATTTTCTGTCTTTCCATTGCCAAGTCTATTCCAAAAATGCTGTTTCTGATCTGCTCAGCTTTGTTCTCCACCTGATGAATAAGGATCCAATAAATAGAAGCAGCATTGTAAAATGCATCTTGTTTCCCTTCATTATGGAAGGAGTGCCTCACACAAGAGCAGGAAGAAAATCCCTCGCTACAGTCTTTTGATTAGTATACTCCCAAACAGCAGAAATGCTATACTTTCATATATTTCTGCATTAGAGAAAGACTTTATGTATGGCAAAGATCCAGCCTCATGGAATATTAATCCCTTAAAGAATAGAGAAAGGCACTGTTAGTGGAACAGATGAATACTGTTCAGATGATATGAAAAAAATTATACAAGTTGAGCACACGACCACATGGGAGGTTGAATTCTTCTTGCACAGAAAGATGTGTGGCTTTTTTCATTACATTAAAGCTCCTGGTAGACTGTAGAGATCCATTTGTTTCTGTAGGCTGTGCTTCCTGAGAGAACAACATCGGAAAAATCCTACAAGAAAAAGGTTTTCAATTTTCAATTCCCTCCATATGTGACTGCAGCTGAGAAGACAACTTACCCTAATGGTTAGGCATTAGCAAAAAAAAGGACGCCAAAATAGTCAAAATGAGTGATCAACACTGGGATAAGTACTTGGAACACTAATCTGAAAATTATCCTCAACTGAATCTTTCTCTTACTTAGCAAGCCTTGCGACTTATGGATGAAGTAAAGGCAAGATTGGAAGAAGAAGAAAGACAATGTCAAGTAGCCTTGAAAAACTTATGGGATGAATGTGAATCTTGTTTAGAAAGTACCTGCATGAGATATTACACAACTTGCAAGCGTGGTGTGTCAACCTTTAAAAGAAAGGTAGGAAGAAACTTTGTATCCAGAGAATACTTTTGAATTCACCTAAGAGTTTTAGATACAGCACATTTTATTTTCCCAATACCTAAATCTGTAGTTGTATCAGGTTACTAATATTAATTTGATTTGGAGGGTATCGAAATGCGAAGTTATATGACAGGGATTATATGTGATTATATTCATTGGACGTTGAGCCAAAATTAGTTCAGTTTCACCCCGGCGAGATTCCATGGACACTGATTATTCCCCTGACTCCAACAGACTCAATACAGATATGCAATGTTTCCTCTCACAGTAGGACTTGCATTAGGATAGTCAATAACTATTTGTAAAAACCACCACATAGATTCTTTATGGTCCATCTGAAAATCGACCAAGATAAAAGTGTAGATATAGTTAGCAAAATTCCATTGGGAAAAAAAAAATCTCCTACTTATACAACATCATTCTTTCCTATACTTATTTTAAATCAACTCTTGAAGTAACAAAAAAGCTTTAAAATGCTTAACTATTTTTTTTAATAAAGGAACCTGTCATTAAAGGAGATTCCCCTACTTCTACCAGAAATAAAATATGCTTTCCTGGCTGGCAAATTATTATTACTACAAGACTTAATGAAATTGTAATCACTTTTTTTCTTTTTGTTTGGGCACATGCTTTAAGTGTAGCTTAACAAACAATACTGCAATTACTGCTACTGAAATGTTAGCCAGATTACCTAGCTTTCACACCCTGTGTGTTGAAAAATATAATAACTTAAACATTAAACATACTGTGTTTCAGACAAGCTTTGGAGCAGAAGTGTATAACATTTGTGTATATTCTTAAACTAATTCAGGTTAAAATGTGGGAGATATTAAATTTAAGACTATTGGTGATACTTTTAGCCTTTTAGACACCACTCACAGATACCTCAAATGTATCTCTTGGACTTTCAAGAGGTCGTGGATGCTGAAATTATTGCAGTAAAAGTTATATACCATTTTGTCACTGTCTTTGACCCTCTCGGTAACTTCCTCAGTGTGCTATATGCCTTATTTGAAGCATTCAAAGTAAGAAAAATGTGATATGACCTAAATAATTAAAACAAAAAAAGGACAAAGAGGATAGCTGTGGGTGAGGACACACAGGCAGAGGGGGCAACACTGGCTTAGGCTGGTCCTGCAGTGCCGTTTCACAGTTCACCTTCCCTCTGAGCTGCACTAGCGGTCAGATCGAGACGATGATGTGATTTATTTTTTTTAAAATGTATGTGTATATCTGTCTATATCTATCTATAAGAATATCTGTCTATATCTATGTGTATGTGTTTAGCAGGGTGCTTCTTGATGCTTACCTGTTTCCTAATGCCATGGAATGTGGCTCCAAAAAACACTCCATTGGCTCAGGGAAAAGTACTGTCTTAAAGCAGAGCGGGGAACCAGTGGCTGAGACCAGTGACTGAGGAACTGGGAACTCTGTATAGCAGAGTTGACACTCGGACTCTTCCATCATCAAACCATGGACTGAGAGTCACTGCTCTCTTGATTTTGCTGGGTTTCAGTTTGCAGAAGGACGTAAGGACTTGCCCATTGGCGAGAGTGGGCAGGCTTTTTACAAATCGTGGCAAGAACAATCACCTTCTGTTCCCTACACTGCACATAAGTACACAGAAATGCATCTCGCATCTTTCCAAGATAAAGTCCAAATTGTTTGTTGGAAGAAATCCGAATGCCGATACTTTGAGCCTCCACAGATTAAAGGGCAACTGGTAACCTTTTTACTCCAGATCTGATTTGGAGTAAAATTAATGCTAATGATTTAGATTGAATGTACTTCCCCTCTTTAGGGTCTAGTGTCTTAAATTACTTCAGAGAATATGCTGTGCTTGCAGTTATTAAGAGGTAATTGTTTCTACGAGTGTTTGAAAAAGAAAAATTAGAGCCTGAGAGATGACAAACTGGTAACTTGTCAGGCAGCTCATCTGTCTCCTTCTCACACACAGGTTGAAGATTTTTTGAGGAAAATACCTCCCCTCATTTTCACTTTTCATGAGGATCAAGGAAAAGACATCCAGTTTAATGAAAAGTCTGAGAAAGAAGATACCCAGCTAGTAAAAATGGAAGATTTATTTAGCCAACTATTATCAGATGTGGGCTCAATATTTGACAGAAGTTTCATTTTTTTCAAGCACATGCAAAAAGAATTTGACCAGTCTTTTCAGACGTATTTCATGTCTGATCTGGACTTGAATGAGTCCCCCAGCATGGCAGCTTTACCTGAGGACACCACCAGAAATGACAGCTCACAAAAAGGCTGGGCTATGCCTGGCTTTTTACAGATAGTTTTTGATTTCAGTAGGACCGTGTTTGAAGGTGTCAGTGAGGTGATTACCGATGTATTTGATGAATACAGAGACTATAGAAGAGATTTGCCAGAACAAACCAAAGGCAAGTGTTAGAAAATGAAAACCAACTGCACTGTCAATGACATCAAACATTTTGGGATTGCTAAACTATGGTTAATGATTCAGCTTCCATTATTTTAGTGTGAGATACTGTAAGGAAGCTCTGGAGGTTTTCTTGGTTAAAGGGACATGGGGCAAAGATAACTTTTATCAGTTAAATGAACAAGTCACCTAGAAATCTCAGAGAAATATTGCAGGGAGACTTGTGGATCCTACACAGCCTGATTTTCATGGCACTTCTCAAACTATTTGCAGGAGTTCCTCAGGAGCCCCTGCATTCAGGACAGATGCAGGTTTTCATAAGGCTGACTGACACATTTAATCTCAGCATTTGTCAGGATATGATTTGTATCATCTCTTATTGACAGGTCACCGATTCTAAAAAATTAGAGTAATACCATGAGATGTCAAGACATATCCCTGCCCTTGCCAAATGATGTTAAGTTCAGCTTGACAGCTGCAAGTTCCAGTCTACTGCAGCAATGTAATGTGCCAATCAAATACCAGTCAAATAAAGACCTGCCATCAGGTTTTTCAGTGACCAGAAAATTCTGGGCATACCACTGGTGATAACTCTCAGTGAAGGGAAAGAAACATGGCCAAGTTTTAGAGTTCAAATAAGCTTTATATTTTACTCGTGAAAAAGTAGAGCAAGCATCCTTTAAATACGTGCTGGTGCCTGTCTAGAAGGAGATTGCAGTGAGCACATGCCATAACCCTGAGTGCAGGTGACATAACCGTTATATGATCATCAGGAAACATAAAGTTAAGTGATTCTTCAACAGAGTTTCAAAATTTTTTTTCTGTATCAGGAGCCATGTCACCTCAGAAATAAGTTTTGGTACTGTGCTCTCATCTAGCTGTATGTGATTATGAAACATCTTGACTTCTAAGGGTCAAAAAGATCTTACCAGAACGCAGATGTTGTAGGAACAAATAACGTGTAATAATATTAGTAATTTTTGGTTATTAGTGGGGAATACACTACAATGTCTTTGTTAAGGAATATACTACAGTGGCATGAATTCTTTGAAAGAACTCAGACTAGGTAATGAATGTGTATTTATCAAAACTCTAAGCTTAATGGCAGTCTAAAAATACTACAACTTCATTGCAGATCCTGACAGAAGTGGCATGTTCTCAAAAATTGTGCCAGGGCACCAGAGACCTCAGTGCAGGGAGCTTCGGGAGAACTCCTCTGGATGCCCACAGTTTCATGACAGATGTCAGAAATGTCAAGACAATCTTTTGCATGGTAAAGAGCTATTTTTCTTGTTTTTCTTCTGTAATGCATTGATTCCTGGTTTGTAGATTTTAAGGCTGTCATTTTCTACTGCACTGTCTTCATATTTTTGGAATTAATATTCAATCACTGAGTTTTTACTGTAACTACAGGTACAATCACCATTCCTCAGTCCAGATGATTTCTATTAGCTTTCCCCACTGTCTCCACAGAGTGTCACTATAACTCAGTTGTTAACATACCGCTGGTGGTCCAAAGAGAAGTTCCACAGCCTATAACAAAACACCGATATATTTTGTTAGAGCTGACCATCCTGCAAAGACACAAGATGTCAGTCAGCAATCGATCCTGCCTGGGTGCAGCAGTGCTGAGCAGAAAGTGAGGAGAAGCTCAAATTCCTGACACTTGCTTCTCCTGCTGACAACCAGGTGTAACATCAGATAACACTCAGCTCCTCACAAGGAAAGCAAGAGCTTGTAATTATTCTTTGTTGAACGATGTTAGCAAACGGGGCTGACAAAAAGGGGATTTCATGTCAGTATGTAAGGAGATGGTAGAGCCCTGGTATGTGCCCTTCATGGGCACCTGAAAAAAATTCAGACTGCATCATCTAGAACTCCCACTGCAGCATAACACATCTGTATTTCTATAATTATTTAGGTCTTAAAAGCCAGAAAAAGTGCTTAAACTCAAATGTCTTCAGAATATCTCCAGTGTGGCAAATATTAATGATACACTGACACATTTTGAAAAGAATATCAGACCACTAAAAATATTTTTTTATCTACACCCGTGTATTACAGATACCAGTTTGTATCTGTAATTACTTTATTATCAGCCTGAAGGTCTCCCTTGACAATATTATTGCACAGAAAACAAATTGAATTTTTCTGGAGTAATTTTTGTATAGGTTTAATAAAATGTTCTTGTTTAATATCCACATTCCAGTAAAAAAAAACAAAACAGGAATCTTCAGTTCTAAATTCATTGAAGATGTCTAGTTATCTTTAGATAAATATTAGGTCTTAACATTCAACAGGAATACTAACATACATTACAGGCTTTCTTGTTATAACCTGTGACATAAAATCATAGAATAGTTTGGTTGGGTAGGGACCTTTACAGGTCATCTAGTCTGAGCCCCCTGCAATGAGCAGGAACATACTTATCTAGATCAGGTTGCTCAGAGCCCCATCCAATCTGACCTTGAATGTTTCCAGGGATGGGACATCTATCACCTCTCTAGGCAATTTGTTTCCATGTTTTACCACCCTCAATGTAAAAAACGCCTTCTTTATATCTAGTCTAAATACACCCTCTTTCAGTTTAAAGTCCTTACCCCTTGTCCTCAGGCCCTGATAAGAAGTTTGTCCTTATTCAGGTACTGAAGGCCACAAATTTTCTTCAAAGGCCACAGTAAGTCTCCCTGGAATCCTCTCTTCTCTAAGCTGAATAACCTCAAGTCTCTCAGTCTCTCCTCTTAAGAGAGGTGCTCCAGCCCTCTGATCATCTTTGTTTCCCTCCTCTGGACTCGCTCCAACAGGTCCATATCTTTCTGTGCTGAGGACTCCAAACCCACATGCAGTACTCCAGGGGTCTCATGAGATTGGAGTGATCTGCTGACCATGATTCTTTTGATGCAGCCCAGGAGACAGTTGGGTTTCTGGGAAGAAGTGTGCATTGCTGGCTCATGTCTAGCCTCTCATCCACCAGCACCTCCAAGTCCTTCTTGGCAGGGTTGCTCTCAATCCCCTCATTCCCCAGTCTGTGTTGATACTGGGGGTTGCATCAACCCAGTTGCAGCACCATGCACTTGGTCGTGTTGAACCTCATGAGGCTCCCACGGGCCCACTTCTCCAGCTCCTCCAGGTCCCTCGGGATGGCATCCGTCCTTCAGGCATGTCAACAGCACCATTCAGCTTGGTGTCATCCGTAAACTTGCTGAGGGTGCACTTGATCCCATTGTCGATGTCATTTGAAGACACTAAACAGTACTGGTCCCAACATGGGCCCCCAAGGGACATCACTAGTCACTGATCTCTATCTGGACATTGTACTGTTGACCATTCCCCTCTGGATCTGACCAGACCCAGACAATTCTTCATCCACCGAACAGTCCACCCATCAAATACATCTTTCTCCAATTTAGGGAGAAGAATATTGTGGGCGACCACGTAAAAGGCTTTACAGAAGTCCAGATAAATGACATCTCTAACCCTTTCCTTGTCCACTGATGTAGTCACTCCATTATAGGAGGCCACCAGGTTGGTCATGCAGGACTTGCCCTTAGTGAAGTTGTGCTGGCTGTCCCAAATCACTTCCCTGTTCTCCATGTGCCTTAGCAGAGCTTCTAGGAGAATCTCTCCTATGATCTTCCCAGGCACAGAGGTGAGGCTGACAGGTGGCAGTCCCCAGGGTACTCCTTACTACCCTTTTTTAAAATAGTGCAATATTTCCCTTTTGCAAGCCTCTAGAGACTTCACCTGTCTGCCATGACTTCTCAAATATCATGGAGAGTGGTTTGGCTACTACATCAGCCAATTCCCTCAGGACTCATCAAGTCCAACAGACCTACATGCATATATTCAGGTTCCTCATGTGGTCTCAAAACCGATCTTCTCTTCCAGAGGGAGGAACTTTGCTCCCCCAGTCCCTGCCTTGCAGTTTATATACCTGGGATAGATTGACGATGGAATATGAGCAATTAAAAAAAACCATAATGTGTAAGGAGATTATGATGTTGCTGTATGCAAAATCTACCAAATCTATTTAGCATAAGAGAAAATCTATAGCCATTAAATACAATATAAACCTTAAATTACTTGGTAAGTCGTTGTAATATAATAAATGGGATAATAAATCCTTTTAGTCATTGTGAGCCTAAACTAAATCTACCAAAAGAGGTAAGCAAGAATTATTCTTTTTTTCACCATTATTTAAAGACCAACCCAAACTGTGCCCCTTTGCTAGACTTTTTTACAGGTTTCATTACTTCAGATAGAAGAGACAAAGTACAAAACATAATACTGTATTTTCTAACAGATTGCCCAAACGTTCCTGAGCTGCACATAAAATTTGATGAAGCCTTTAAGCTGGTTAACCTCTCAGGGGAGCAGTATGAGCAGATTCTCCAGGTGGTTCGGCATCACACAGAAGACACTTCCTACTTGTTGACCAAAATGAAAGAAAGGTTTGGGTGGGTGTCTGAGTTATCCAATATGACCATCGGACCAGAAAGCATTTTCAATATAGTTAAGGTAAGGGTTGTCTTCTGAAGGGAGTTATTGCTGCCTTTGACCTGCACTTTGCTCATATTTGCGTTCTTGGGGGTTTGGGATGTTTGTACATGTGTAATGTCTGGTTGTACAACACAGCATTCCTATTCATCTTGAATTTGTGTATGCTCGATAATCCTTTGATGAGCTGAAACTCCTGAGGTTAGAAACTATTTTCTTCTAAATCCTTTCAGCCTGATGCATGGCTGACAGGCTAACCTGAATCACTGTCTGCTAAGAGTAAATTGACACTAGTAGCTTTGACTGGCCTCAGATTACCTTCACAGATAAATTGCACTGCACCAGTCAGTAACACATCTTTATTGGATCAATGAATATCTAGCTATCTATGTTTGTACCTATATATTCCAAAGTTCAAAGAAGGCAAATGTTAGACAGATTCTTGCAGTGGAAGCTGCATATGTTTGACAGCATCTGTCAATATTCCAATAAGTACATCATGATTAATTGTATCTCACACCAGGATACAGCCAAGGTAAATTCAATCAATTTTCCTGGGCAAGGGACGAATTCTCCTTTCCTACTCAGAAATACAATGTAGTACTATTACGACAAAAACTATAGAAAATGATGGTGCAAACCACAAAAAATAAAGCACAAAATAGGTACAAGGGGACAGGCACACTTTCCCAACTCGGTCTGAGCTATCTGTTTGAGGAAAATAAAGCTACAGAACTAAGTCTGGTTTAGAAAAACACAAAGGAATACATAACTTCAACCACACAAAAGTTGTACTGAAATTAGTGGGACAATTTACAAGTTTTCATTAGGAGAAGTTCTTTATAGATGGAGTTCATGGTATAAATATTAACATACAGTGCTTTAATATGGTCTTGCATTGCCATGTCAGCTCTTTCCGCCACCTACAATAAGCTTTGGCATTAATTCAGACACCCACTGTCTTTTCAGAAGAAAGCAATTTAAAGAAAGTAGAGAGGTCTAAATTATTCCTCTATTTAATTTTCCCTTATTAAAGACAGTGGGCACAGTAGGTATAAACAAAACTGAAAGTATTCAGTAGTTTGTAGTGTCTAAAGTACTGATTTCTTCTAGGTGGTACCTGGGGATCCCTCCAGTAAAAATGAAACTGTGGTAGATGTGAATATTCTGACTTCTCCTACTTTCACCATTAAAGTTCCTCCCAATTTAGACCCAGAGAGTGCTGAATTCATTGAATATGTAGCTGGGAAAGCACTGCAACTGTATAAGCAGAATTTCTAAGTGGTAAGTTCATTCTTTGTCCTTTCATGGAAAACAAAATTCTTCCTAACAGGTGTTTACATTGCAATAAACTTTACTTGAAACAGAATTCAGTCATGGTATATACAAGACTGCCTCCTCAGAAACAACATATTGATTAAGACAAACAGAAGCGTTATGGAAAACAGAAACAAACACTCAATGTTCTAGCCTGCAAATACAGACACAATGATATTAAATGATTTGACTTATTTAACTGTGAAACCCTCGATCTTTAAGTAACATCTGGGATGAGGTAACGTGATGATAAACATTTCTTTAGAAAAGAATTGCCTCACAACCACAGTCCACTGCCTTGGCATCAAAAACCATGTCTTTGTGTTTATTCATCATGAACGAACTGGAATTGCCACTCTTCAGTATGTTTTTTATTTTCAGTGGTGTTTAAGAGCACGCTTGTATTATTTTTCATGATAAAGGACTGCAAAGTGAGAACCACCACCAGGACTTGAAAGATCTGTCTTATCATAACGTCTCTCCATTAGCAGCACTCTGCTCAGTGTAAACAGTGTAAACAGAATCTGCAGTTCAACTTGCAGGAACATGCACAGAAAGATCCTTCTCAGGGGCTTCTAACCATTTCTGTAGAAGTCTCCCTCCATGTTTAAGGGATTTCCAGATGAGGAAGGAAGAACCAGTCAGGCAGGCAGGCAGGGATTAAGAAATGCTACATTTTCTCTAACCCAACAGGGAATCTCCAGGAAAGATGGGGTGGGTTTAGGTGGTAGGTATCATGCTGCTGTGCGGCTTGTAAGGCACCCTTCCCTAGGCTTCCCTTCCCAGGGGGCCCTGGGATGCACAGGTTTAGTGACCTCTTACAAGTGGTTTTACCAGGGGACAGAGCTGCAAGACGCATGAGACCTTTAGGCAAATCACTACGTTGTCCCCCCAGTCCTCTGAATAGGACTAGATTTGGACACAGCTCCTTTTTAGGTCATTGGGTGCCTGATATCCTCAACTCAGCAATTGAAGCATGACCTGAACACACAGAGAAGTCCAAGGAGGCATGTAAAAAGTATTCGACATTAACAAAGTACATGAAGAAAATTTCAGTATTTTGTATTAACTCTGGTTATTCTTTTGAGGTTACATGTACAATTTTTAAACAGATGAAAGAAATCATTTCCACCAGAGAGGCTGAGGTGGGCTGCAGAATTTGGGCATAATATAATAAGCCTCACTACAAACTTTGTTTAGGTAAATATTGGTGAAATGAGGAGTATATTATATTTAAAATACAAACATTTCTAATATTTACAAACATATCAAATAAAATGTTCAAACAGTTTCTGTACAAACTTTCTTCAAAATTCCCTGTAATTGATATGCACTTATTGATACACTCTTTCAGATCATGGAATACTAATCTTCAAGGCCTAATAATGAGAATAATTATTTCCTTAGTCTGAGTATGATTTTTAGCCTGAATTTCAGTCTGATTTTTCTGTGCAACATATCTTGTGTAGCTATTTCATACCTGAGAAAAATAAGTGGCATTGATTTCCAAATCACACTACCATTTTACATTCAGTTTGCACAAGATTACACATTCACATGAAAATGTGATGATAAAAAAAAGAATTAAAAGTCTACAAGAAAGCGGAAAGATCTATAAGAACGAAAAAAGAGGGAAAAAAACCCATTTCTCTTTGGTTTTTATGTAATTAATGTTTCTATAGTAGGACACTGATACATTCCACATATACTAATTTTTCTAACATATTTTTCTCAATCCAAAACCGAAACGTATAATTTCTTTTTTTTTTTTTTTCCCTCCTAGGAAAGAAGATGTGTGAAATCTTTCTTCCTTGACCACTATGGTTGAAATACCCCTATGCTCAACATACAGCTAATTGTTAAATTACTATGGTTAAAATAGTTGCATATAAATAAAATTTTGCTTAGTAAATACTGTGACATATAAGCTATCAACCAAAGACTGTAGAAATCTTTTAAATCAAAACCAAAACAAATCCATTTTAATATTCATTTATTTAAATAAAATGTTATTTATGTTGTAAATTAGGTAATCTTTGATAACAAGCTATGGCTCTGGTTATCCAAATATTTAAGAAAATAATCAGCTATAAGCATACAAGTAATTTCTATCTGCATGCTTGAATTCAAGCACATTCTTAATCATTTTCAAGATTGGTCCCTACAGATGTTGCACATTCAGCTAAGTTAGAATCAACCAGATTTCCATATGAATGTAGCATATTATTTTGTGATGAAAATGTTCCATTTCTTCTTTCAATTGCTTTTGATGTTTATTGTGTACATTAAATGACTTTTCTGAATATGCAGTACTAAGTTTTCTGCCTTTGGCATTTCTTACTCGTAGTTTGCCTCCGGAGTTTATTTTTTAATTAACTAACAGCCTTTATCAGTAAAGAAGCTCATTTTTTCCAAAATTACACACATTAGCTTTCAATGGTATTTGTAAATTATAATAAAGGTTAAGAACTGATATATCACTCAGCTAGAAGCAGAGCTCTAGGTGATTTAGTTTCATTTGCTGTGCTCAGTATTTCTAAGCATTGTTTGCACACAGATATATGCACCATTTTCAACTGTATCCCTGCTAAATAAATTGTATTAATTTCAAAGTGTACAAAACCACCTATATTAGATATGAATATAGAAAAATATCCACACCCTAGTTATACTTCATGTTTTCCTTTACTTCTATACATACAAGTAAGTATACAAATTTATACAAGAAAAAGGCCATTTAATTGTTTTAAATTGTGGGAAAGATGATTTTCTGCCTGCTGCAAGGAAAAGTAGCATTTTCTAATCCACAGTCCTCTGTTCTCCCTAACTTCCATCTTCTATACCTGTATTACGGGCTCCTAATCGTGAGAGATTAGCAGTCATAACTCCTGTAATCACATCAGTGGTCAGAAAGCCAGGCTTTATCTGAGAGATAAGTGACTCTTACAAAATGCTTGACTTCTAAGAGATACTAAAAAAGAAATATTCAGAGAAGAGTCAGTTTGTTCTGACTAGCAGAGATTATACCTAGAAAATTTTCAGAGGACACCACATTGGGAACAGTTGCAATCAAACACAAGTCAGGAGGCAGAATGACACTGAGACACAGGAGAAGCTGAGATCAACAAGATGAGACTCAATAAAAGTGAGTGCTGAGTACCATCCTCAGTGAGAAAGCAAATGTGTCAGTACAATACGCAGCAGAAAGCTGATGACAAGGTATGGCATGAAAGGATCTTGGTTTCAAAGAATCACAGAATCAATAAAGTGGGAAAAAACCTCTGAGATCATCGAGTCCAACCCATGACCAAACACCACCATGCCAACTAGACCACGGTCATGTACAGTCTTTCATTAAATACCATCTCTCTGGGAAGTCCTTTCCAAAGTCTAATCAGCCTTTCTGTGAAGAAATTCTTCCTGATATCCAACCTAACCTCCCACGGCACAACTTAAACTATGCCCTCTTGCCCTAGTTGCCTGAGAGAAGAGGCTGACCCCCACCTTGATACAACCTCCTTTCAGGTAGCTGTAGAATGATAAGGTCATTCCTGAGCCTCCTCCAGGCTAAATAACACCGGCTCTCTCAGCTGTTCCTTGTAGGACTTGTGCTTGAGACCCTTCACCAGCTTCATTACCCTTATCTGCACTCACTCCAGCACCTCAATATCCTTCAGAAGCTCAAGTCAAGGTAATACTGCTGCAACGTGGAAGACGAGCTGTGCCTGGAGCATGGCACTGCAGGGGCACCATACCAAAGACACAGGAGGCTGGCACCAGGTTGCACCCAAGGCTTTGGTGGTTTGGGATATCCCTCCAGCTGGGGGGATCCAATGCCAAATGTGTGTGGCCCGCCAGGCCCAGCTGAAGGCTTTGGTCTTGTTTAGCTCTGAAACGGAATGCCTGAGGCTGCAGAGAGACGAAGGTAGATGAAAAATGCCAGCACTTTCCAGCACACAGTGAGCCCAGAGAGCAGATACTTTGCCACCGGGGCAGGTCTAAGTAAAGTCACAGAATCACAGAATCAATTAGGTTGGAAAAGACCTCTGAGATCATCGAGTGCAACCCATGACCAAACACCACCTTGTCAATTAGACCATGGCACTAAGTGCCGCGTCCAGTCTTCCCTTGCTGCACCACCTCCCTGGGCAGCCCATTCTGATATCTCCTCACCCGTTCTGGGAAGAAATTCTACCTCATGTCCAATCTAAACAAGTGGGTATAGTTTGGAGCGCTGACCCGGGCCAGGTGCTCGGGACAGCCCCTCCCTCAGGGGGAACGGGGCCGCGTCCATGGGGGCTGCGGCGCTGAGGAACCCCGGGCGCGCGGAGGTAAGGAGAAAGGGAAGACAAGAAGCAGGATGCAGCGGGGCCGCTCCGCCCCTCGGCGCCGCTTGGCGGGAAAGCCGGGCTTTGGCGGGCTCGGAGGAGCAGCGGCGGGCGGGAGCAGGACCGCCGTGCATCCGGAGCCCAGCGCGTCCCGCAGGGAGCCTCTCGCCCGACATGCCCGCCGAGGGGGAGCCGCTGAGCGCCCCCGCCGCCGGCCCGGGGCTCGGCGAGTCGCAGTACCTGCAGCAGGTACGGCACATCCTACAGCACGGCCACCGGAGGGAGGATCGCACCGGCACTGGCACCCTCTCCGTGTTCGGCATGCAGGCGCGGTACAGCCTGAGAGGTGGGCACCGCCGGCACCCGCAGCCCCTGTCCCGGCTCCCTGCCCCTGCTCCCTCTCCCTGCCCTTTGCTCCCCGTCTCCGGCCTCCTGCCCCTGTCCCCCGCTCCCTGTCCCCCCCTCCCTGTCCCTCGGTCCCTGTCCCCTGCCCCCGTCCCCCGCTCCCTGTCCCCCCCTCCCTGTCCCTCGGTCCCTGTCCCCTGCCCCCGTCCCCTGCCCCCGTCCCCTGCCCCCGTCCCCCGCTCCCTGTCCCCCGCTCCCTGTCCCCCGCTCCCAGTCCCCTGCCCCTGCTCCTGTCCCCCGCTCCCTGTCCCCCGCTCCCAGTCCCCTGCCCCTGTCCCCTGCTCCCTGCCCCCTGCTTCCTGGACCCCTACCCCCCTGCCCCTGCTCCCTGTCCTCGGCCCCCTGCCCCTGCTCCCTGTCCTCGGCCCCCTGCCCCTGCTCCCTGTTCCCGGCCTCCTGCCCCTGCTCCCTGGCCCCTGTCCCTAGCCCCTGCTCCCTGGCCCCTGTCCCTAGCCCCTGCTCCCTGGCCCCTGCTCCCTGGCCCCGGCCCGCCGGGGTGGGTGCTGGGAGGTGTCACACGCCATCTTGTACCCCGGGACTGACCCGCTCCCGCCCGCCGAGAGATCTGAGTACGAGAATTACGCATCCTCTCCCAACTCCTTGCTGCATATCCAAACCTCTGAATATCAAATGGTGGCGTTGAGAAAAGCCTAAGTCTGTTCACCTTTCGCGAATGGCTGTCTCCTCTGACACTCTAAAACTCTCTTCCAGATCAGTTTCCACTGCTAACGACGAAGAGGGTGTTCTGGAAGGGAGTGCTGGAGGAGCTGCTGTGGTTCATCAAGGTTCGGTGTTTGGATGTCTCTGTGCGTGCTGTGCCTGAGAGTGGGATAAATGGAATGAACTAGTGTGGATTAAGGGATTTGGGGTAACTACAGGTGCTTCTCTTCCTATGAGAGAAGTGCAACCACCTAATAGACCACACATGGAAGGCCATTATCTTCAAGACATTCAGCCTTTTAGTGCAGACTGTTGCTAACAGTGCACTCGGGAGAGTTTTTCTTCTATTTCTTTTTAAAGGATATAGTCTGAAATAGTGAGGGCTTTTGCTGATTTGACTATACTCCGGAGTTATAAAGCCTAATACAGTGTCTTTTCTTAGTGTTTGAATAAGAAATAATAATATGAAATAGATAGTAGGCAATTTAGTGATCTGCTTTTTAATATTGAAATAGCTTTTATTGATTTGAACAGAAACAAGCAGTGCAGAACCACAGGTCAAGTGAGATCGATGTAAACACTAGGCTTTTTAGTAGCAAAAAAATGAGATCTAATAGAGCTGATAGCTGTAGGTAGAATAATAAAATTCAACTATAGATAATACATTACAATGGAAGTGTTCCTTTATATGTTGTGATATTGTGCAGGTGTGGGAAAGTCTATCTAACCATTTGCTACATAGTAGGACTCAAATGCACATTCATTTTTTAAAAGCTTTGGGTGTTTTTTTTTCAAATGTAAAAGACTAGACACTCTCCAAAACAGCATAACTTCTGTGTTGAATTTTTGAATGTGCCGATTTGGACATGTTGCAGGATTCAGCAACATTTCTCTGGGTCATTTTCACATTTTTTGTCATTTAAACAAAAGGATTTTTAATACCTTAAGCTCATTATAGGTGGCTTGGAAAAGACAGTGCCTTTGTTAGTCTGTTTTCATCCATCTGTAAAGTAACATCTTGTTCTCTGCAAATGTGCTTATGAAATGACATACCACAGTTGACCTTGAGGCCGTATTGTTTGTGCATTCACAAAGTTAGGAGAATCCTGTGTTAAACAACAGTAGCATGGCTGTTCCTCAAACTTCATCCCAGTATGTTGCTCTCAAGCTGTATTCTGTCCATGTGCAAGAACCTCATCCAGTACATTAATTAGACTGTTCATCCTTTGTAAGTGGAGAAATACTGTAGACTAGAAAAGCTTAATGCAGCTGTTTCAGGTAATGTCCTCAGTGTTGAAATTAGGAGGCAGAATTCTTACTGTCTGTGTTTTGTAGGGTTCTACAAATGCCAAAGAGCTCTCTGCAAAAGGTGTGAAGATTTGGGATGCTAATGGGTCACGTGAGTTCCTGGATAAGCAGGGTTTCAGCACCAGAGAGGAGGGGGATTTGGGACCAGTGTATGGTTTCCAGTGGAGGCACTTTGGAGCAGAATACAAAGATATGCACACAGGTAATCACCTACAGATACAGTCTTGTTTGCTTAGTGAGACAACTGTGATACATCACTTCCAAAACTCTGAGTTTTGTTAAGGGACTAAGTGTGAACTGATAGCCAGAATAAATAGTGTTTGAGAGAGTTAATTTAGCTTTTTTTTTTTCTTACTTAATCTAATTATCCTGAAAGATGTAGCTTTGTGTATTTTGTAGTTTGTGTATTTGTGTAGTTTGACATTTGTAGAACTGATGGATCGTAAGGAATACACTGTTATTCTTTTATCAGTGACCAGATATGGTCACTGATAGCTGGAAGGATGTGTGCCTGTTGCAGTCCAGAAGCCCAAGCTAGTTCCATTTGATAGCAGTGGAACACGGGCTGCCATCTCTGTGTATCAATGTGGGGTCCCAATTTCTGTGATACTGTTGTTCTGGAAAGAACTGGCAGTGCACTACATTCATTGGAGACAGGGGAAGAGAAAGATTTTTCTATTCTGCATCTGGAACAAAGTAGGATGTATCCATAGCTGATGATGCTGTGGACAGAACAGCCGTAACAGGTTATGATGTGATGCAGTATCTGTTGGTATTATTTTCTGTGGAACGGGTTCATTAGACTTACTCTGAAGTGTGTTGCTGACTCTTTTCTAAGTCACTGAAGGAGAAGATGTAGAAAACATTTTGAGGATTGCCCCTATCTAGTGTGATTTTAAACTCGGATTAACAACATGAGTTAGTTATCTTGGTGGGGTTTTTTGTCAATACAGCCTCAAAATTAGTTACAGATATTAGACTTGGTATTGGCATGTTGATCACTAGTTTTATGCTAACACAAACAGTGCAAATTGTGAACTGACACATCTGAAAACTTAGTGAAAAATTTCAGTGTTCCTGAACTTAGTAGGTCTGAGTCAAAACATAGGGTGGAAAAAACGAACAAGATAAATTCCCATGGGTTTCATTACTAATAGATTTCCTTAAGTTGCATTACTAATGGATAGGTAATTAGCTTCAGGAACTAACATAACCATTTGACAAGGCTTCTGGCAGGGTATTGCTGGCAGAAGAATTCCCTGAGCTACTAATTGTGTCACGGAAGGATCACAGAATATTCTGAGTTGGAAGGGACCCACAAGGATCATCGAGTCCAACTCTTAAGTGAATGGCCCATACGGGGATCGTGTATTACTACCTTGCTTGCCAACTTGGGTCTGCCTGTAGCCTAATTTGATGTTGCTGCAATGAGTTATTAGAAAAAAGTAGTTACTGGTCATGCTGATTGACTGGAATGAGTCAGAACAATGATTAACAACTAATGACTCTTTTACTCTGAAATCCATTCTGATGGTCAGTTAATATCAGTACATTTCTTATATAACTGGAATTGAGCCTAAAATTCAGCCTGAGAATTGGGTGAAATTGGGTGAAATGTATTATCCTGTGCTATACATGATTAAAGTTCCCTTATGGCTTTAAATGCTGTGGAAATTTAGTTTTCATACGTGACCTTATGAGTGCTAGATGGTTGTGTTTATTCATGTGTCAAAAACTTTGTACTTTTGAGTATGTAAAGAGTGCTGGTATCCCTCAGTACTGGTCTGGGCATAATTTTATTTTTTTTTTAATAAGAAGGAGCACTGTAACATGCAAGTTTAACATCTGAAAAGGTATTTTAATCCAGAAGTGCAATAAATGATTTAGTTTAAATACTGTGAATGACAAGGTGGTAATATGTTGTCCATTCCAGTACAGCTCTTTTCCTATTTAGGTAACAAGTCATCATGAAAGATAAAATACCATTCTTTGTTCAACTATTTTTTTGTATTGCAAGTTTTGTTTCTTGGGATTTAGCAATTATGCAGACTTCTTAGTTGGTCTTTAAAAATGTCAAGTTATTAAGAATGGAATAAAGTGTTCTAAATAAGAATGGTCCTATTTCAGTGGGTGCTAAAGGTAGTCAAAGCACACAAAAGAGGTGGGGGGACATGTCAAAATACCATAATGAAAATTTCACAAGCTTTAGAGCACCCTAAGAAACACCAAGAATAGCCTATATTTAGAGTGTGCCAACTAATTAATATCACTTTCAAAGTTGCAATGAAGTTTTCAGAGGTTGTAATTTCAATATTACTTTTCAGTGGGATGTGGGCTGGGTGTTAAAAAAATATCATGACTCGAATCTGTCTGGTTTAGATCTTATTTGGTATCTTTCTCCAGATTACTCCAACCAAGGAATTGATCAGTTGCAAAAAGTGATTGAAACGATCAAAACCAATCCAGATGACAGAAGAATCATTATGTGTGCTTGGAATCCAAAAGGTATTGAATAGCAGAGTTTAAATGAATGCAGTTGCACATTACCTTGCTTTATGCTAAATTATGTTCTATTCCTGTGTCCACAGTCAGTACTATTTGGTGTCCTTATTTACTTTTTATAAAAACTATCAGGAATACAATAAAAATGACCAGGGGTTATAAGTTTGATTCTCTTTCTACCTAAGTCTTATGCTCAGACCTCAAAAATATTGAACCACTTCTTCAGAGTGTTTCTTTCCATGTTAAACTTAACAAAACCCTTAAAACTAGAAAACAAAAGTATTATTTGTGTTGTAATCATCTCTTTGAACATAGGTTGTCTAGATATCCATTCACTCTGTATGGCTCTTCTAAACATAGGTTGTCTAGATATCCATTCACTCTGTATGGCTCTTCTAAAATATGGCTATTCACTCTTCTAAACTCTTGTTTAGAAGTAGCAAGAGAATGTTTAACTTCACCAGTGGTGATCTGTGCTCCAAAAAATCCACTGGTGTATGAAAGGGCTGCAACATGCTGTTACTGTTATTTATAAGGTTAAGCATTCTCAGATATCAGAAGATACCTGGTTAAAGTTTTTCCTGCCAAGCTGCAATTATGCTATCTGCACTTTTTAAGTGTGGATAAACACTCAAAAGATCTTTTGTTTTCTGATGTTTTTTAATTGATCATTGTTTTTATATCTGAAGAAGCAGCAAGGGCACATTGCAATGGGAAGGGAGTAAGATGAAGCAGTTGGAAGTCGCTTTAGGGTACATGCTTAATTTTACTCTTAATGTCTTCCTTTGGGGAAATCAACTGTCTCACCAAGGTGAGTAGCAGTAAACTGCTGTGCAGCATTATGGCATAAATCTGTTATGTGGAATATCTGTTTATGACTTTCTGGTCATGCAGCCCAGGAGACAGCTTGTCATGACCCAGACTTAATTGCTTGGGCAGCAGATGCTTATAAACAAGAGAAACAAGCAACAGAATGACAATGCTGTTGGCTCTCTACTGTATCCCATTACATGCTTATTTAGGTTTTGCATCTTTTACATTCATAACACACTAATGCTGCTACTGTTCTCTTCTGTACTGCAATTCCTAGATATTTCTCTGATGGCTTTGCCTCCATGCCATGCTCTTTGCCAGTTCTATGTTCTAAATGGTGAATTGTCTTGCCAACTCTATCAGAGGTCTGGAGATATGGGACTAGGAGTGCCTTTCAATATTGCCAGCTACTCACTGCTCACATACATGATTGCCCATGTCACAGGGCTAAAGGTAGGTTATTTTATCATTTTACTTAATCTTGTCTGAGAAATGAAGGACTGAAAGACGGGACCCTTCATGTCATGAAAATGTCCAAGAAAAAATGGAATGAACATACTGTTAGAAATATGTGTGAATACTTGCTGAAATATGTGTAAAAAAGGGCCCTGTGAATTTGATGTGAATTGCCTCTGGTTTATGTGGGCAGTTAGGATCAGAAACATAAGAATTCTTAAATTAAGGTTAAACAGACAGAAGATCCTCCAGGTCATGACCGTGTCAAAACTGGCCTGTTCACTAGTCTGCTTCTTAGAAATCTGAACAGAGCACTTGTCTTTATGGGATAGTAACATACAAGTGGTTAAATTTTGTAGGATGTGTTTATTGGAAGCGAACAGTAGCTCAGAAGTTGCTGTCAAGGTTTTAATTTGGATGTTCCGCCCACCTAACTTCCAGCTGTAATTTCAGCTAGGTATTTCTGTGATTTCCTACTGTAGATGATTATGTAGAGTGGTAGTATGTGCTCAAATAGCTCCTGCCCTGACTTCAGAGATATATTTTTTAATTTGACAGAAAAATTAAAAATGCTCAGCAATCTTGTACATGTGAAAACCCCTTTTCTTTAGGTCATGTAAAAGTTATACTAGTAAGGCCATTTGTGCTTGATCATCCTGCTACCAGCAACAAAAGGAAATAGGGAAGAAGAATCAGACTTTACAGCAATTGCAATCAAAGAAATTAGTCCATATTAGTCCAAGGTACTAATCCATATTAGTCCAAGGTAAAGTCCATAAGGCAGCTGTTGTCTCTCAGCCATTTTGTCTCATGGCTTTGGTGGTTTTCAGTGTAATATATCCAGGGGCTTATCTACATTGGTCAGAGGCCAGTAAAATAGCTGATAAAACTTACCTGAGTTAAATTAGATTGCTCAGGGGCTGCGAAATCACAGAACTTTTTCAATCTTGAAAACATATCTGGATTCTTGATAAGTGCTTTGGGGTTTAGACTGTGACTGACACCTCCACTGCTGCAAAGTACAATGTTTAGAAGAGGCTAAGGCAGCTGCTCTGAAACGAGCTTTGGCAAGTCATACTTATTAGAAGTAAAGTGTAAAAGCTGGATGTCACTGCCATGTCCGTTTTTATCTTGGTGAGCAGATCGGTAGTGCTCCATTCAATACCAAAGCTATTATCCTAGCAGGATTTCAAAGATAAGTTTTTTTGTAAGCTAGTGGAAATTTCAATATGTTTTTCATTAATTAGTCAGGGAAGCTAGTGTCCTTCAAAGTTTTCAAGGATGTCTTGGCGATACAATCCAGTACAAAAGCTGCAGTTCCACACTAGATGTAAGGTGCTAGGAGTCAATACTGTAAGCATTGTAATGTTTTGCTTTCTTGAAACCTGACTGAAAACCACGTGTATTCTTCATTCTTTTCAGCCTGGAGAGTTCATACACACTTTAGGAGATGCTCACATATATCTGAATCATGTGGAACCTCTTAAAGTTCAAGTAAGTACTTACTCTGTGTTCTTGTATTGTTTTATCTTCCACAATACTTGTTCAATGCAGAATTATCTTGGTATTATAAATATCCTTTTGCAAATATTAACTTGTGTGGCTTTTCTTCTCATTTCTACCCTAATAATTGTAATATACTAATAAACGTAGTATTCAACTCAGGTTGCAAACAGAAATACAATACAAATGTGATTGAAATGCACATTAGTGTACTACTTTAGAACCAAGTTGGAGATCCAGAATCGGTACTCCTACTTTTGGCTAAATCATGCCAAAACCTTAGAAAATCATTCTGCCTAATCCAGATAAACAAAAAATAGAATGTCTTTGTAGTATAGCAGATGATAACTTACCAGTTCACAGAGTTAATCAATATTACTATTTGGCTATGTTTTCTTCAGTAAGTAATTTGTTGCAGTAGGAGAAAATCAGAATTCTGTTTGATTTGACTTAGCTTGGGTTGACTGTCCTCACCATTCATATGGTTCAAAACCATTCAGAGAACTAGTTAATGGTTTGGACCCAAATGGTCTGGTGAGAAACTGCAGCACATTTGATGCACATCTGGGTCAGAGTTTCTAATATAGTTTCCTCTGGAAGGAGTATGATCTGTAACCACCAGAATTGCTTCACCCACTGGAAGTGCTTGCAGTGCATTTGGATGATCAAGGAATTCACTTGAAAATTATGCTACTGTCCCTATGAAAATACTAAAGTAGATTCCACCTAACAATATTTTCTTCCCTTTTTTTTCTTGGTATAAGTCTTCTTGGTGGGGGGGGAAAGTCTACATAGTATAATCTGAATTGACATTGAGAACACAAAATCTCTCAAGTATTAAGCTTTATACAGTAAGCTTGCTTTTATTTCAGCTTCAGAGGGAGCCAAGACCTTTCCCCAAACTCAGAATTCTTCGTAAGGTTGAAGACATCAGTGACTTTAAGGCAGAAGACTTTCAGATTGAAGATTATAATCCTCATCCACCTATTAAAATGGAAATGGCTGTTTAATGCTGTAAACCAGCATTAAATATTTATGTGGAAATGTACCTAAGCTACTTAGTTTCTCTAAAATGATCTTTTATATACTTCAAAAGATACCTACTTTATTATTAAAAAGAAATAGATAGTAGCAGACCAGAACTGCCTTCAGTACTAACCTGTAGTTGTACAGAACAGATGATTATGCCTGATGTACTGTGCAGACATTAACTCATCTCTTAAGTTGATAGTGAGCTAGTTTTCTGCATGTTTCAGTGGCCACTTAAATTACCATTCAGTTACTGTGAGCACTTGCTTATGTGCTTGATATAAAGAGGATTCCTTCAGGGTTGGAGAATTTGTTAAATATGTTCTAAAGAGTATATGTCTAATAAAGCTTTTTTAAAAAAAATTCTGGAACGTATGATGCATATTTAATTTTGCTGTGTTTGTTTATGTTTTGTAGTAAAAAAGAGCTGAAAAGCAAAGGATCTTGGAGGGTGAGATCTAGCAAGGAAAAACACTTGAACTTCCCATGGTCTTTATAGATGACCATCAGGAAGACAAAAGATCTTAACGGAACCTTGCCTGAAATGCAGTGTCTGCGTAACATCTCTGTAGCAGCAATTTATTTTATTCCTCAACCCTACATGAATGATTATTTTGATATAAATCAAACAGAGCTGTAGTTAAACAGAAGTAACCAGATAGCATTAGTAATCAGCTGTCTGTCATCACTTCAAACCAGATCCCACAAAAATGTGGACTAATTTTGCAGCCTGAAGCATTAAAAGTTAGAGATCGTAGTATTTGTAGGAATGGAGTATATTGATTTAATCTTAGGGGAATTCAGCTTTTATCTCTCCTTATCCTTGCAACTTTTGCATTAACTTCAGTTCTTACAAAATTCCTCATCACGAATTTAATTGTGAATAGATCTATGATTATAATTCAGACATGGCATATTCAATACATATTTGAACACATGGAGAAATGCATAGTAATTTTTTGATTAAATTTTAAAGTCAGTAAACTTGTAAATATTGGAAAAGTGTATGATTTCAGATAATTCTAAGAATTTGATAATCAGTGTGCTTTAATTACATTCATTCAGTTATGTCACGTGCTCCTCCTAATAAATTCCATCTCAGCTCTACTAGTCTTATATTTTAAAGTCACCCAGTTCAGATAGTCCAGGTGTCTTCTACATTAATGATACATCCCAGCTGTAGGTTGTCAGCCACTTACCATGTGCATACTTTTGTAAGTTAAAGGTTCTTGAGTGGTTTTACAGTCCTCTAAAGTACAAAAAAACAGTTTAAGTTGCAAATTCACTTAACAGTTCTGCCTACACTTAGCAAGTTAAGTTTCTTTTGCTGGAAACCACTTTATGTAACACTGCAGATAAGGTGGAATCTGCAGGACATTTTAGCAAGTGAGGATGTGAAATAAAATGTTGGCCTCAGGGCTTGAGTAGTGGGAATTAGCAGTCTCAGGGAAGTTATCCAGGATAGGAATACCTAGCCAAGAGAAGAATTCAGAATGGGAATAATTTATTTCCTTTCATAAATTACAGAGGAGTTAGGTGTATGGACATACATAGCATGCCCTGACAGACCAATATATATCGCTCTGGAAGAGCTACTACTTTTTAGTGTAAGAATTAACTACAAATTCATTGTTTTCCTTTGTCAGCACAATTTACTGCCAATAGCAGTTATTGAAGTGAAGCTTGTACCTTGAAGACCAAGAAGGTTTACAGTGCTCAAAAGATGAGAAAGATGTAAAAAGCAGCCTTCACACAGCACACTTTAATGTGAATAAAAGTGATAATACATTTTAAAATTCATAGGTATGAGACTTCTATGAGATTTCATGCAAAAAGAAATGAATATTCAAAGGATTTGAATATATAGGCTTAAACAGGAGGTACTCGAGGAATTTTGATTTGCAGAATGTGAACACTGTTCACTGCTGCAAAGATGACTAGTATGACTGCAGGCCATATTCAGAGCAGTATTTTAGACAAAACATGGGACATTGCTAGATCATTTTGGGAAGCTGTGAAAGGGACCCGTAGGCCTGCTGAGAGAAGGGGTTGTTCTTGGACTTATTTCCTGACGAATAAGCTGTCCCAAAAGCTCCCAGTTCCTCACTCTCCCCTGCTGATGACTTAGAGCTCTACAGGTGGAATTAGAAGTCAGTTCCTTACCAGCTCTGCATATCTGTAGTATTTCTGAGTCTTTGCCATTTGCCCTGTTGACTGCTACATTCGTTCTGCCTCACCATTTGGACTTGAAGAGTTTCCCCTCTTCTGTAATTTTTCCTCCAGACGCATCTTTGTATCATTTCTCCGCTTTCCAAGGGCAATTCAATAACTTGGAGGTAGCATTGAAATTTCTTACCACTTTGGTCAAATACCAACTTTACTTTCGACTGCCTTAGACAAGCTTTCTTTACCCATATTATTTCTGACATGTTTTGATATGTTGCAAAATTGTCTTACTGCGATACCACAAAGAATATTAGTTTTTTGATAATGACAGGTGAAAGGTCAGAAAAGAAAGAACAGCTTCTGAATTTTGAGACAAACATCTGTCTGATTAACCATCAAAATCAACAGTCTAATAATGAGCCTGGTTTGGTGAGTTTGCCACCATAGTGACTGGTATCTGAATATGGAATGCAGCCCAAGTTTCAAGTGCCTTTATCAAAACCACAAATGGTTCACTTTCACCTGCTTGAAGTCTAACCTGCTCTCTGCCTTCCCTTTGTAGACCACAGGAAGGTGGGCTTGTGGAGTAGCAACACAAATTTATGCTGTGACCATCATGTAGCAACATATTTTTTCAGAAAACAAAGAACAATCACTGTAACCAGTTGCTACTGCATTTTTTTTTTTATAACTAACCTGTTTTCAAGCCTTTTAGATACTTAGGTATGTCCATACTAGAGATGACAGTGCCACACCAAGACATCCAAAGCCTTTTGATCAGCCCCACAGCATGACATGAAACAAAGAATTTTACAGCAGTGCATGCAAGCTTATGCTCAGAAATCACAGGCATGATAGCTGAAGAAACTAATCAGAGTGGCTTGAAGGGTGGGGAGAGGGAAATTTTCTCATTGCTGCTGCATTTTGAAGAACCTTACTCTGGAACTGTTTGGCCATCAGCAGCGTAGACAAGTTTTCATTCACTCTTCCCAGACTGCAGCTGTCAGTTTGGAAATAACTCAAGGCCTTGGCTTGTAGAAGCTGTTTAAATATCACTCTGTTGTGGCAGTGTAAGGGAAAAAATGAAAAGTTAAGACCTGAAGTCTCCCAAATTAACATATTCCAAGAGCTGCTGGCAACTCATACAAAAACATTTGTACACTGTCCCTCCTGTGTGTGTCTCTGTAAATCCAAATTATTTTAATTACTCCATTTAAATGACAGATCACATAAGGATTTGGTTGAAGTGAACGTCAGGGATGTTGCCAGTATTAAAAATCAGCTTGTACTTGTAATATTAGGAGCACTACACCTGACACAATGAAGTGAGGTACAGTGAAAAAAAAAATCAATGTGTGCCAAAGGGCATAGTCGTCCTGGAATGAGTTTGGAAATTACTGCCCCTTAACTGGATGTTGAATCGCGTAAGTGAAAGTGAAGTGAAAGCACCGAGTCAAAATGGCTGTTCCATTCTAGGCCAGGGACACGAGTTTAACGTCCACAAAGGCACGCTGAGTTTGTAGTGAAACGATTATGTAATGCTCACATAAAGTGATCTGGCAGCTCTGCCAGATAATTGCCTCACAGATTGCCTCAAAATCTTTTTAACGTTTGGGCCCCTTTAGGAGCCAACACACACCCCTTTGGTCACCTAACTGTGTCCACAGACAGGAACTTGGGGTACTCTGGGGATAGGATTCAGCATGCTCAGGACTGCACAGCTTTGGGCTGTTCTCGCCTTGGTGAATGAGCAGCTATTCCCATTTTGAGACAGCTAAAGTGAATATAGCAGTGATTCTGCTGTAGGAAATCATTCCTCCTGGAGACTACTCCAGCCAGATGAGAGATGGACTTGTAGAGGAGATACACTTGGATGAGAGTCAGGATTCAATTTCTAGCTGTGCTAGAGATTTCCTGTCTGGAACTGGGCTAAGCTGTTCAGTCAGTTAAGGCCTCATATTAATTTCCCATGTTTCTAGTACACATAAGTGTATTCCATTTATTCAATGGAGAGTTCTGTATATAAATACATTAAATGCTTATGTGGTTCTTGGATGTTATGGTGAAAAGAAGAGAAAGGTTATACAAACCATCAAGTAAAGCCAGTATTCAGGACCAGCCTTTAATTTGTAAAGCAAGGCTATACTAATGGGTAATTCAAACCCATCCTAATAGACATTCATTATAAAACACCCCCCTCTGCAAATTAGGTGTCCTATCTACTGGTAGACAACAGCTGAGAGCGAGAAGTACAATTAAATATGTTGATAGCAGGACTTGGCATGAGAAACCGGCAGAGAAATTATGCTAATGCCATCACTGTTGTTTCCAATTGCTGCAGAGAACCGAGAATTTGTTAATTTACATTGTTTGGCTTTGTAGATTTGGTGTCATTACTCAGAAAAAGGATGGATGCAATTAAAAAACAGTTTACTTTAGGCTGGAGACTGGTATTCTAAAAGGTACCAAGCTGTCTACTGATACCTTGCTATTTATGATATATCCAAGGGTTGATTCTGGTCTTTGGACTCATTAAAAATATTTCATGCAAAATGAATTTAATTATAGCTGATGGCAGTGACTTAAGTACTAATACCAGCAATGAGTTTCCTTGGGGCAAAGAACAGGTTTCAACCTTTTAAAATAGCTGCATATGTACTGGACAAATTCCTCCTTAGGACAGGCAGGGCACTGAGTGCACTGACAGACCTCACCATGACCAGTCTCACCTGGGGCTCACTCCCTCTGTCCACGGGCCTTAGTTTCTGCCAGGGTTGAATAGCAGGTTGTATTGGGTCTGGCTGAGCTGGAGTTCATTTCCCCATAGTAGCCCTCACAGTGCTGTGCTTTGCATTGGTAGCTGGAAGGGAGTTGATAGATAACACACTGGTGTTTTGGATACTGATGAGCAGGACAGGCACAGCATCAGCACTGTAACATTCCTTCCTCAGTTGAGGGCAAGATCCTGGGAGGGGACACAAGTAGGCCAGCTGACCCAAACTGACCAAAGGGATATTCCATACCATATGATGTCAGCTCAGATATAAAAGTTGAGGCAAGGAGCAGGAAGGTGGACATTCATTGTCTCCAATGGCTGCCTGCTGAGGAATTGTCACGTGTGCTGAAACCCTGCTTCTCAGGAGCGGCCGACCATCACTGCTCATGGGAAGTAGAGAATAAACTGTGTTATCTTTCAC